AGGCAGCCGCTTATAGGAACAGCTATATATATCTATATATATATATGCTATATATGGTCAGAGGGCCTTTAGCTTCTAGACTATTTCTATGGAGTGTGTCCAGCTTCTCTTAGGGAATACAACATTTCTTATTTACTTAGGAAGGGAACCAAATAATGACATGCTTTGTAAAACTTCAAAGTCTCTCCTCCATCTTGGGTTTTTTGGGGGTACTGGGGGCAACCTTTGCCTTGAGATTCATTTCAGGACTTTAGGAAGTCTTATAATTGTAGTCATAAATACCCACCTCTTAGCAACTGATAAAACTAGTAAATAGGATATCAGCAAAAATATAGACGATCTGAACAACAAAATAAACTATCAGGATTTCACTGATGTGTAGACGCATTCCATCCAACAATAACACAATACCCAGTTTTTTCAAGAGCTTGTGGAACATTCACCAAGACAGACAAATGTCCTGGGCCATAAAACCAACCTCAACAACTTTGTAAGAATTGAAACCATGCAGGGTATGTTCTCTGACTAATATAGAATCAGTCAAGGATTAATAATGGAAATACACAATCTGAATATTCCTATAACTATAATGAATAGAATTCATAATTTAAAAGCTCTGGAAATTATCTTTAAAAAGTAAAAAATAATGCTTCTGAAAATCTCCAGGCCCCGATGGTTTCACTGGAAAATGCTATCAAACATTAAAAAAAAAAAGCACCAAATTTACACAATTTCTTCCAAAAAATGCAAAAAATGCAAGCAGAGGGGGTACCTCCCAATTCATTTTCGTTGAATTTAGGACATGTCCAAGATTTTGGAGAGCCAAGAATGAAGAGCCATCTACTCCTTTTTAAGTCAAACTGAAAAGGGAATTTGGAGTTGGAGACGCCATCTAACAGGAATTCTTTTTTTAATCCCTTTCCATTATGTAACCTGTGTGTACATATCTCAGCTGCTCCATGCCATTTATCGATGACCCGCTCAGCAAAGTAACATGGAAGCCCATGGTGGGTCAGGAAGCAAAATCCAGGGTTCCAGATGTGTTTTGCTATTAAGCCAACTTATGTAGTTGAATAAATTTATTAAATGTTATCTGCCTCTGTAACATGGGCACATTGGTTTAGTTCCAAAATGCTAGTTTCTATGTGATTATCCATGCCAGCCAATAAAGGCAAAACCAGTCACTGTGTTTATGTCGTTACCATAAAATGGTTAATTAACACTCAGGCTTAAAAACATGAAACCTGGCCGCTCCTCCCAACTGGATCACCCTTGGGACCCAAAGTAACTTATTTCACCTCTCTGAGTAACCGTTTTCCTGCCTGTAAAACAGGAGTCCTACTAGTTAGTATTTTCCTTATAAATTTGTGGTGGGGATTAAACAATGCAATGTTTGTAAATGCTTAACAGCAACTAGTCCATAAGAGACCTTGAACTCATGGTGGATATAATTATCGCTAACATTTTTGTGGTCTTAAAGATGTAGTAATCAAGAGGAAAGCCATAGTGACATAGGTATTAACTAAAAGTGATGTGATAATTGACTATTAAAATAAACCTAAACGTTAAGGACTGAATGGTTTGTTCATCCACACTTCGTATCAATATCTGCCCACTGAGAAAAATCTGTTCTCAAGTAAGACTCTCTCACTTTCAAGTCTCTCAAAGCAAGAATAATTTGAAAACCATAGTTTTTCGGCTGTAACCTGTTAACTGCCTTTCTATGTAGTCTTGGGTTATCAACAATTGCTTTATAAAGAAAATTGCACCAATGTTGGGGGAACCCAATAATGTTAAATTGACAGTAAACAATTTTTTTTCATTAGAGACATTTCTATATTAAAGGTTTTTATTTTCCTCATATAGGTAGCTACAAAACTCAAATACCACTGTGCAAATCTACTATTGAATTTCTCCAAACTTTCTTAACATGAATGGCCTTTATTTCTAATCTCCACCAGCACAAGCTTCGTCTGCCACCTGCTCAGCACCTTCATCACCCATCGGTAGGATCAAGAGCACAAAATCAAAGGCTATGGCCTTTACTGGGCCTCAGTGTAACTCAAGTGTCCTATTTAATCAATTGTAGAATATCCAACTCACTTTCTGAAAATCCACTGTGTATAGTTTTAAGACCCAGGAAAGATCCAGTAAATCCAGTAATTCACAGAGACTTCAATGCTGCCAAGAATGGAGAAGAAAGAGACACTTTTCCATGGCAATTAAATAAAGATTAAGAACAATGCCAAGAAGCAAACTGGGATTAAAATTTTGGATGGCTATGGCTGACATAATCTTGCCCCATTATAATGCTTAATCATGTGATAGCTGAGTTCACTATGATACAGTCTGGTGTCAGTACCAGCAGAGGATGAGAGAGGGTCAGGTCCAGGATGCAAGACTACAGGAAACAGGAGGCAGAACGAGGCCAGGCAGCACTGTGGGGTGGTTCCACGTCAACACTGGTCCAGAGGTGATCTGAGAGAGGGCCTGTTTTCAGGGCTCTCCAGGCTATACGGCTTTTATAGTTATCCAAAGAGGTTCTCTCCTCTATGAGATAGTCCATTGACAAACAGTTGCTCCCACAAATAATTTCACCATGTCCCTTTCAAAAGTCCCAGTTAGTATCACTAAACCCGGCAAAATGCCTGCCAGCTGTAAGACCAGGAGCTTCATTGCATTGTCACAGAGACGTTGCATGACCTGCGTTACCTGAATTTTATTAGCAGAGGTGATGATTCTCAGGGAGGTCAGGGGACATCATCTGCCTTCCCAAACATTCGGGAAATTCAATACTGCCATGGAAACTGCATTGGATTTTAGGCCTGATATCACCAGTGGTCACCAAAAACTAGGAGCGCAAAAGTCCCAGTCCACATGTACATAGTGATGTTTACTGCTTGAGAAAATACTGTTCATGTATCATTTCTCTTTTCTCATCTCCCCACTCCCCACAGACCACATTAGCGGCCAGTCACTTCCTTAACACCTGAAGCACGTGGTTCTATTTTGAGCATGACATTGCTTTAGAATGCATTCTTCTAACTGCAGTGTCATTATCTCTTCTTGGGGGTAGCATTTCCGTGGTGAGGCAGGAGCATGGGGCCAGTCAAAGCCACAGGCTTCCATGGAATGTAGTTGAGGCCTGTTAGTGCTCTCTGAGATGGACAGGGGGTGTTTCTGCACCCCTAAATTATCCCATGATATTTTTAAGAGAGTAGAAAATGTCACATGTACGCTTCCTTGTGTTGACACTCATAAGTGAAGTTAGTCGACAGGAGACAGTAGGGAACCTGAGGCTTGCTCCTAATCTAATCCTTCTGCCCAGTTAACACACTCATGCAATGTGCTCAGCCCCCGAAACAGACCCAGAGTTTACAGGTTTAGTGGGTTCCAGCACGTCTGTAACCACATTCCTGAATACAAACTAGACTCTAACACAAGACTGAAATGTCTCTTTAGAAATATGTCAAACAATGGCATGAAATTGAATTTAAAAATATATTATCAGTAGATATCTGCATCTTTCTTCTTCTAAAAGGCATTGGAAGCCAAAAGGGAAACGTTGCTATCACCTCTGGACCAATAGCTAGAAGACTATAAATTAATTCTTTGATAAACATTAACAAAAGAAAATAAGAGTGCAAAAAGCAAACAACACATTAATTACTATAGTATATATCTAAATTGATAGCACAGTGATCACCAAATGATAGAGATAGTAATATTTTCTAACAGAGAAAACATTACCAAATGCTTCTGTTAAAATAACAAATAATTTGAAACCCTTTTGTGTTCTTATTACTGTAAAGGTGTAAAGTCAATTCAGAGGTCAAACTATATTCCTTCCCAAAAGAATACAGGGTTGATACAAGTCAAAGTCTGGTTGGCTCCCCAACGTTTCTCTAATTCTTCCCCCGCAGACTTTAGGCCATGAAATGAAAAGAACACATAGCTATCCACAATACAGAGGAATGTAACTATTTTTCCAACTGGACAAAATGCTATCAGTGTCAGCATTAGCATTCTTAGGGTGGCTGTTATTGGTATTCATCTGTGGCAAAGGTTGTGCTTTTTGTCGTAGCTTATACCACTAGTACATCTTCTGTATCCATGACACACTTATATCCATACATATTATATACACATACATCGGTTCAGTGCAGAAATCAGATGACCGATGACAGAGCATTGACGAGCAGCGGTGGGAGAGCGTGCCCGACCAGGGCCTACTTACTGAAGGAAGGCAAGGTCGCCCAGTCTGGCGGTCGTCAGCATGCCAATTAACAGCGCTCCCTGCAGGGTGGTCAGCAGGAAGGACGGAAACCTCGCCCTAGCACCAGTCCCTCAGCCCTGCTGGTTTCCTGTGGCTCTCTGGGTAACGGCATCCCATTAGGAGTGTGACACAGTAGGGAAAGAGACCGGTTCACTGTGAGACCTGCTACTCACTCTCGTACAGTGCATCGGCCCCCCTTCCCACTGCACAGCGGCTGCCGAGCTCTGGGACGGAGGCGTGTGGCCCTCGGGAAAGTGAGCCATGGAGTCAGAGTTCCACCGGGGCACAGGCTGCAATGTCAGAGGCCTTCTTCTAAAGACAGGGCTTCTTAGGAGGGTATTAGAAATAACCTAATGTGGTCCCCGAGCCTTAGGGACAGGGGTATAATTCTCTTTCAGTTGAAAAAGAAAAAAAGTAGGAACTAGGGAGACAGGGGCATAGCTGGCTCTCTGCTTCCAAATAAACTAAGAGGATCAGAAAATAATTCACGGAGACTATGTTTAGCATGCATGGCTGGGATGCTGGAGTGATGGGGGCTTCACCTTCTTCTACCGGTTATCTTTCCACACAGAGTTAATCAGACGCTCCATGATCTTCCCTGGGTAAGGGAAACGAGCTGGTTTAAATTGTCACGCTTGAACACTCCTCCAGAGAGGACAGCTGAGAGATGTACATGCAACGATAATTTGGTTAGAGTATAAAATGGGAGACTGATTCCAAGTACCTGCGTGCTGTGCTGTCTGTGGCATCTGCTGACCCCTCTGAGCGCTGTACTGAACTGAGGTCATGGGCCGGTACTGCTGCGTGGTTGAGGTAGGGTACTGACCCGATGGATAATAGTATATGGGCATCTGCGGAAGAAAGGGAAAAACAGCAGGGAGTGACAACTTGCATTAAGTAATTTTTAAAAACTTATATTGTCATCTTATCACCTAATGTGATTGCAGTGGATTGCAAACATATCCGCCAAAATCTTTCTCCAGGCCTATGTGTGTGTGCATGCTATGCCTCCCATGAAGAGGTGAAATCTATTCTCCAGGCCTTTGAATCTGAGCTGGCTCTGTGACTGGCTTTGACCATTGCCAGGAGGCAGACAGGAATGGTGACTTCTGAGACTTGCAAGCCTAATCTGCTATTGCAGGAGGAGAGCTCAGCCGCCAGGAAAAGAAGTCCAGGGAGTCTGGCTGGAGAAAGAGGCCATGTGGAGAACAGAGGAGCCCCAGTCTACAGGCTAAGTAACGTTCCAGGCATGTGAGAGGCCATCTTGGATGTTCTAGCCCCAGTCAGGCAGTCCCCGCCAATACAACATGGGGCAGAGACGACCCATCGTTGCCCAGTCCTGTTCAAATTGCTGACCTAGTCATGAGCAATACAATGGTGGTTGTTTTAAAACACTGAATTTTGTGTTTTTGAAATGAAACGAGTGAATGAAACAGTCATCAGCAACAACAAAATAAGTATGGTAGCTTTAAATATTGTATCTAACTTGAATAGTTTTTCTAGTGGAAACACAAGTGAGACATGAAAACTGCTGATCTGTTGCCTAAAAGAAGCAAAGAATAAAATTATGAAATTTATGGTAAAGTCTATCAAAGCAGAACGACTGGCACACAGGCAGTATCCAAGATATTTATGTTCAATCTAAAAAGGGAAATACTTTAAAATATTGTCTGTGTCACTTCCTGTTCCTGTGTGATGACTGAGAATGGCTGTAAATATTCTAATTACTTCTGGTAAGATTCAAATCAAATGTCTCCTGATCTGGAGAGACTTCCCTGCCTGCTTCAGCTCACTTATATTAAGGCTATTCTCTCACTAATCTTCATCATTCTTCATCGCTAACCTCTGACTTTTCTCCTATCATCTTCTTTAAAGTGTAAACAGGCACACCAGTACACAGCCTACAAGTATTGCATTCATAGAATAAAACTACGAGCCACCTGTGTGAGAGCTGTGATTTTTATGGCGATTTGATTTTCTGATTTGCTCATGTCAAAAAAAACACAAAACACTCTTCTATTTCAATCTCCCTACTGAAACATACGTAGCCTGTTTTCTGCCTTAGGATAAACAGGAACAAGTCAGATAACGTGGCCTGTGTGGATCTGTTGCAACCCATGGAATAATGATGAATTACAATTCTGACTATTTGACAATATGGATCTTCAAGGGTAAAAAGCTGAATGAGTCTGAAACAAACACAGGTTGGTATCTGGCAATTAACTAATTTATTATATGCATTGTTTATAGTGATTTGATCTTACTATTTCTCCCTTTCATTGTAAGGCAATTTATAACAATAAAATCCAAAATGATTCTGGAGTAATAATAAGTTTTAGTGATGCGCCAGCAAACTGTGATGCTATTAAAGATTACTATCATTCTATAGCAGATGTTTCCCAGTACTAACAGTAAAAAACAAGTACTATCTAATTTATTTATCTGAATTACACTTGTAGGACTTTTAGGAAGAACAGCATTTTGTTCCTTTAGGAGAGATTGTTTCTTGATTCAGTGTAAGCTCTTAAATGTGTTATCCAACCCTGGCCTCTCCTCGTATATTCATCAGGAAACATGAGAATACCTTCAGGGCTGAGGGACAAGGTTCAAACAATTGAAAAATTTCCTGATGAGCACTAATGGTTTGGATAAAAGTACAATTTCTAGTTAAGAGAGAGAGAGAGAGAGAGAGAGAGAGAGAGAGAGAGAGAGAGAGAGAGAGAGAGACTCATTTTTAGTACTTTTTGTTTGTTTTGTTTGTTTGTTTTAATCTTGTTTTTCTCCCAGTTCTACCTTCTTTAATACCTTGACAAAATGTGACTGAGGTTTGGTCACTTCTGCCCAGCATCTCCGGGTGGATTATCAGCCAGACCTCAGGAATTGCAGCTTCTGAGCATATTATGCAAATAGGAAACGCCATTGGGCTCTTCCTCATCCTCCTCATAGAGGAAGGAAGGTGGGCTGAGCTAAGAGGAATCTCTAAAAGATCAATATGAAAGCTTGGAAGGGAGGGAGGAAAGGGACAAATGAGTGAGAATAGCCCAAAAGGGAGGAAACACATATTTTCAAATAACTATGTTAAAATGCAGAGAATCAAAAAAGTGAGTGGATTAGGAGAGGAAATAAAGAAATGAAAGAAATGGGAGAAAAAAAATCTATTAAAAAAAAAAGCACTTCTTTCACTTCCTGTCTTCACATCCCTCCTTGCCTTGTCCATGTGTTTCTTGCTTCACCGTTCAGTGAGCATTCAGAAAGCACACACGACAAATTAGACAAACTTGACTTCCAAGGGCATTAAATAGTTCATTTTCTGCATACGTTTAACATATTTCCGTGTGTGCCCACGGACTGTCACAAGTTCTTTTCATTGTTCCACAGCTGAGTAATCAAGTTTTAAAACGTTTACTAAATTGAAAATCACTATGGGTTATATCTTATACTTTAATGTGTGGTTCTTTTAAAAAGAAATTCATGGATGTCTAAACTGATCATGAATTGTAAACATATGTTTTTGTCTTTCCCCAACCCTCTCTCTTTCTATTTTTAAATCTATTGAAGAGGGAATGAAAGCATTTCTGTTGCAGACATACCAGGGCTTCTGAGTGGTCTTTGTTCCTGCAGTCCATTAATACTGACATTCCTTCATCAAAGACGGACTTTTTTTTTTTTTAATTGGGGAATTGGGAGAAGGGGAACAGGCAAGTTGCTGTCATTTTGTTCTTCAATCTAGTTGTGGAGGATGTTGCTTCACTGGTCCAAGTTGGCACCATCATTGCGCTCTCCCCGGGCAAGACAGATTAGTTGCCAGCTTCTGGATGGCAGCTCTCAGTGGCTTCTGGCCACTCATGCTGGCTGCTGGCTACACATGGTAGCCCGTGGCAACCCACTGCCACAGGGGCTGCAGCCCACACCATTGCCAGCGACTCATGGCAGCCCAGCTCCAGGTTGAGCTCTTGTTCAGCATCTTTGCTGTAGAGGGCAGTGTCACTGGCCCTCATATGTGGGATCTGAAACGGGGCCCTCTGGCATCCCAAGCCAGCTCTTAACCATCGCGCCACTCGGCCGGCCCTCAAAGACGGACTTTTGAAAAAAGTCTTCAATGAAATATTCTGCCAACTCTTCTCTTTGACAGCAGAAATGGGTAAAAGAACGCTAGATGCTATTTAGGCTAAAAGAACTAAACAATTTTCCCAATAATTAAGCTTAAAACATTTAATTCATTAGCAAAATAATTAATATATGAGTGAAGACCTTTCTCCTATAACTTCCAATTATTTTTCACATCTCCTTAAATACTACTAGTGAAGAAACATTACCAAGAAGGCAGCTAAAGATGAACTATTAATTAATCACTCAAAAGAAAATGAACAACTGAGTGAAAATTATTTAATGGTGGAGGGTTTCGCATGGCTTGAAAAGAAAATAATTTACTCAAGATGTTAAGGCAGTGAAACGAATGATAAGAAGGTGACACTGTACTTTAAGCAGCTCATCCAATGCAATATTTCATAATTAGGATAGAATTTGCTTGGGATATGTGTGCCTTGAAAATGGACCAGAGAACGCCTCCGTGCATTTTACATCTTGACAGTAATCACTTGCAATATTCTGCGAGGGATACCCAGGAGAGCACCAGAGATGTTTGGTGGTGAACAGTAACACATAATCAGTCTTTGGGAAGACAGTAAAAATCAGTGATCTGTGGTGTCTTACATGCTCGAGTCAATTAAATATGATTAATGGCTACTTGTGAGAGAACGAGTGAGCTCAGCTTCTCCCAAGGGAAAGCAAAGGACAGTGGCTGTCGGCTTAGCTTCCTCCTTTATAGTCATAGAGGCGCTCCTGCCTAGAGCAGCAACTTAGCTCCAGAAAATGCTAGGAATCGATAAGAAGGGAAAGAATGAATTTCCAGAGCAGCAGCCAGAGAGCATGGAAAGTCCCCCAGGAGCAGGCTGTCCTCTTCTCCAAGGCTCTCCACTTTCCTGGGCAATGCAGTGAGCAGGACATCACCCGGGAGGGGCTGCTTTGATGTGGCCCCTGTACCAGCAATCTGGAAAATGGGATGTTCCTCCACTGTATCACGGGCAGTTGGGTCAGTTTCATGACACCTACTTTTTGCACAACTGATGAATAGGACAGACCAGGTCCTGCAGGGGGTGGAATATCACTATGGACCAGAAGAGCAAGACAGGCGGACCTGACACTATTCTACGTGGAAATATAGAGGTCAAAGTGTACCACAACTCAGCTACAGGCCACAGGTGTGAGAAAAAGCATGCTTACCTGTGCAGGTGGAGGCTGTTGCACGAAGCCCTGGGGTGAGGGAGGGGCCTGGAGAACTTGCTGGGAAATGGAAGGGCCAGAGCCTGAGAACCCCCCGGTGGGGAGCTGCTGGCTTGTAGAGGCGATGACATAGCTGGGCTGTTGGGCTGGCTGTGGCATGAGGGATGGCGGGTAAACAGGGCCAGGTGGGGGCTCAGGAGTCTCTCCTGAGGACTGCCTGCTCAGGTTCATCTGGCCGAACTGTGTCGCCACATCATCCCTCTGCAAGACACGGAAATCAAGGAGGAAATCAGCGAGAGTAATGGGAGAGGCACACAGAGGCAGACACAGGCCACATGCTTGTCATTGTGGGAGAGGCAGGGAGGACACTTTGGAAAAAAACAAAAGAAAGGAATTCCCCATCCAGAACAAGAGAACATAACAAGAGAAACAGATTTCATCATCCCGAGGGTCAGAGGTGGCAAACAATTTGACCCAAATCTCCCTCTTTCAATGGAATCAAATTATTATTTTTTTCACTAAGGGCCTGGGCTCTTCAGGACGTTGCTGAGATGAGGAGGGCTTGGTTTTCTGTCCCGAAAGGTCAACTGGTCTTCCATCAGTAACCATAGGGTCTGCCTTCTGGGAGAGGCAGAAGGACTTGTGTGCATCATCACCCATGACTGCTGCAAAGGTGGAGTCAGGACCGACACCACCAACGGGCTGGGTGGGGGTCCCATATTAGGCAGTGTTGTTCACTGGCCTGGCATGAGATTTAGGGGCAATGCTCACTGGTGTCCAAAAGGACTTACACATCGAGGGGAAATGAAGGGGAAATGGGGGGAAGGGGACATGAGAAGAACACCTATATCAGGACAGTGGGGGTGATGATGGTTACTATCTCAACACCAAGTTCATGTATTCCTGTGTTACTGACTTCTAATTCTGAGGGCATGCAATTTCTGCTTAGCTGGCAAACTCTTAAAAATAAAAGGGTACCAGATGGCAGAAGCACTAAACATGGAACAGATGACAGAAAGAAAGCCATGATTTTGAAGATGGGTTGCAATGTTCTGGAATGAGACATCCACGCACACATACCCCTCATGGTCACCCCAGGCACCCACCCAGCATCAGCCAGCCCTGCACAGAAAGGCAGTAAAGCTAATGACTATACTCTCAAGTCACACACACGTAATACAGTACCAGGGGGAACTGCTGCGTTGCAGACACAGGCAGGAGATGCTGGGGAGGAAAAGAGACTGCTGGGTATTGCACTGACTGGGAGGAAGCCTGCAGCCCCTGGACAGACTGGAGGAAAGAAAAGCTGATCAGGTGAGAGGGATGCACTAGGGGTTGAAATCCCACAGGAAGGCTGTCATGTCTGAAGCACACCACCCGCCACCCCTTCCAGGTCTTCGTAGCTCAGTGCACTTCAGAGAGAGGGACCAGCCACCACCAGAACATCAAAGCCTTGCAGACCAGAGCCTGCCAGCCCTGGCGGGGGCTTGTTTGCTCAGAGTGACCACTCCTTTAAGAAGGTACTGGGATACTTTTCAGGTTGTTGTTGGTTAGATCCTCCGGGTCTAAAATATTGCCCAAGGTCTCAGAAGTGAGGGAAATAATATATATTTAAACCGAGGATCACTCCAGCAACCTATCTGGCACACTTCAGGTTTCTGTGGACACTTCCATGTGTCGCCTTAGGCAAAGGAGGGCAACACTACATCTCTCGAAGGGGAGTATGAACAGCCGGGCCACCCTGGAATGCACTGATTTCTGTTCTTCCCATTGATAAACACTGATGCCGACTCTTGGCACACGTGAGCACGTGGCCTGTGTTGGGACTGGGTGAGCAAGTGGATCCAATGGCCTGGGTAGGAATATGAGCTCAGTTCCCAGGATCGGCTCCTTGATACAGAAAAATAGCATCTAGACCTAAGAAAAACTTGTCATTAATTTTCCCTAGTACCATGCTCTCACCATACAAGTCACTGGATCGGCCACTCATCTCTATCTAAGCTTAAGGCTCCAGATGAAATCCTGTCAACCTGAACCGAGGATTCTAGGCTGCCAGGTTGTATTTCTATGAGTGGACGGAGGTGGCACTGATGGAAAATACCCCCTCTTCTCATGTACTGCTGTCTTGAGGACTCGGAGCACTTCTCCTCTCTGCTCTCTAACCAGCTTCTTACCTGAGCGACCAGAGGGCCTGCCATCTGCTGCTGTGTTGGCGGGACTTGCTGCTGTGGCTGAGGAGAGGGCTGCTGCTGTGGCCGCTGCTGGGACTGCCCCACCATCGCGCCTCGCAGGGGCTGCTGACTGGCGGGGGGGTTGTATATTGCAGGAGTTCCATCGGGATTCACAAAGGGCTGGCCTGCAATGGAATCAGAGCTTGGTCCAGGTGATCCTCTCAACCTCTCCTTTGGCAGAAAGAACTCCTCTGATAGATAATATAAAGCAACCTAATGTAGAGGCACAGCAGGGTGGAAACCCAGGACACAAGAACCTTCGCCCATGTGAAAACTTTCCTGGTTTTGACCCATCTGCCTAAGCCAGATAACAGTGTCAACCCAGAGCAATTTAAGAAGCAGCAAATAAATCTCCCACCTCGGGGAGATTTGCCAAAGCTAAGTGCATCTGTGTACAGTGGCACCCAGTGGAGAAAACCCATGGAGAAGCAATTTTCACGAAGCCTTGTGTTTTGCTGCCCTGTACCTCACAGCCATCAGCGAGATAACGTACCCCGAGAGGGGGCTGCTTTCCTTTTATGCAATTCCAGCTACATTTGGATACACGTTGTTTATCAATACACTTGTTTTGCTTCTCCTAGCCTTGTCCCCAGCTCAGTATCATTATCATGTCCACAAATATTTGTACAACGGGACATATCACATCCATTCACTCATACTTCTCTGAAGAGACACAATCGGGACTACAGGGGGGTTTGGATTTTAAAGGTGATGCATAATAAACTTATCACAGGATCATCTTATAATGATGAAGCAAAATACATTATTTTGCCTTTTGAAATAATGGCAGAGTGCACTATTATAATTTCTACTATTTGGGGAGTATTTTGCAGTTTACAAAATAGTATTACTGGAGCCTCATCATGGCTCTGTGAGGAAGGTGTCACCTCCCTGTGCTTCAGAAGAGGAAACGAAGACCCACCGGAAAGGTTACAGGAATCAGGGGCTGCAAGGAGGAGGGTCTGGGCCCCAAATGAAAGAGAGAATAGGGGGAGGAAAGAGAAAGTCCAGGAGAGGCCAGGCCACCTTCCAATGTGGCAGGCACAGTGACAAGCACCTGGCATGCATGATCTTAGCTCTTCCAACAACCTACAGCTATGCAACCTCACCCCACCTTGGAGACAGGAACATTAGGTCTCAGAAGGACCAAGCAACTTGTGCAGAAACACAAAATACAGTAAGTGAGAGAACCAGGAAAGGACCCTGGTCAACATGACTCCGAAGTCCATTCACTTCCCATGACACCAAACAATGGAAATGAATCATCCAAGCGTGCATAATGGGTACCTGCTACAAGGAGGTGCCGTGAAAAACATCCAGTCATCCCTGAAAATCGTTAATCAGTGCAGGATAAGTCAGGAGAGGTGGGGGCCGTGTGTCCAGGTGGAGTTGCAGCCAGGATTGGCAGATAAAGAATGAGCAGGATCAGAACATGGAGTAATGGATTGGCAAAATGTTCGTAGGACGGTTTGTGAGTTCTTTCTCCCCTCTTCTATAACCCCCACATCCTATGGGGAAGGGACAAATAGGAATGTGTGTCCACACATGGAAGCCATGGAAACATTCTCTAGGAACCTGAGCAAAATGCCTGCAGGGGGAGGACTCCCAGAATGGGGTTGGTGTCTCAGAGGAGGCCCTTCTCCCTCTTGGCTTCAAGGAGATGGCAGAGCCAGCAGGCTGAGTTCTTCCTAAGCACATATTCTAGGGCCTGTCCTTATAGTGTTCAGTATGCAGGGCTTACATTTGCACTCTTACCCATGGTAAACAGAATGTCTTGGGCAAGGAAATCAACCTTATTCTTTTATAACGTATATGAAGAACAACAGAAGAGCACCAGTAATGTGAGGCAAATTAGCAACAAAAACGAACAGGACAGAGAGGGAAAATGTAAAATCTGATCCAAAAGGAAACAGTATTCTAGTGAAAACAAACCGTATGTTGTTCCACAAGAAGAACAGGCAGTTATAAAATGGGAGCTAAGCTAATTAGCTCATGTACGCTACCCGAAAGAAACCAGTCCCAAGAGGGTGGTCCTGCATCATTCAACTCCTACTACATTCAAGACTGGGCCGCACTGACCTATGGAATAGAAGTCAGAATAGTGGTACCTCGAAGGGGCATGAGGGAAACTGCTAGGAGACATGTTCTCTGTCCTACTCTGGGTGATGTTTACTCAGGTGTTCACGTAGGTAAATATTTACCAAGGCTACACGGCAGATGTGTGTAGAGCACGCACTTCGCCTGTGCACTTTATAAATGACATTAAGACAGTAAATTGGAATGGGTCGGGGAGGCAAATGCTGAGGTTATAGTGAAGCCAAACAAAATGGTCACAGGTAAAGAGCCATGGACTTGACCTCAGCTCCGTTGGGAACTGTAATGGGAGCTTAGCATTCCTCATGAGTACCAGAAATGTTCAGCCAAACTGTAATTGTGGGGATGCGACAAGAAACCTTCGATGCTGCGTGTTCATAAACATACCTGCCAGAACTAAGGGAGCTCTGATAACAGTTTCATAACCAATCACAATGTGCTGTGATGCAAAAGCAAATGTGCCAGAATGATGGTCACAGAACGATGACTAAATTTAGTGGTATTTTTTTTCTAACATTCTTCACAGACACTTGTTTTCCTATTACTGTCAATTAATAACATTTTACATCTTTTTCCTTTTTGTAAATATCAATTCTTTTGTATTTAAAATCTGCAATTCATTTTTCCTCCCCAAACCAGCAACTTGGGAAAGGAGGGAAAAACAGTTCAATTTTCAAAAATCTATCAGCCCATATAGTGTTCTAATCCTTAATTGCTCCCCCCACCCCCGCCCACCCCACCTTCATTTGTATCTTTAAAAGATAAAGCTTTTAGGTACCTAACATTAAAAAAAAATCTTTAAGGCAACATTATATGAAATCACTTGAAAATCGGTGTTCCTCTGTACTTACACAAATATACACACAAAGATGGAAAGCTAAAAGCAAGAGTCTACTATATTCCACATGACTTTCAATTTACCCCAGGGAATGTGACAAAAATGACCATAATTAGGATGAAAAAAGATAATCACACAATATTCAGATGTACTTTGTGATAAATTTTAGATTTCCTGTTTGAAATATTAATATGCTGTGGAGCAGAAGAAAGAAATGTCTCTAAATAATTGCATATGTAAAGTACTAAGAATTTACTTAGGGAGGGGTAGATGGCGGGTTCTTCTGACAAGTTTGATTTTATGCTCACCAAGGAGAGGTAAAAATAACACAGGAAAATGAAAGAAATAAGATGGAAAGAGCCCAAAAACAACTTCCTAAGAGAGCAAGAATGGGTGACTACTGGTTTTCAGATCAGGCAATGATCACCTCTCAATATTCGACCATTTACAACAAATCCAGATGCAAGTACCACTGAATACAAGCAATTCGTTTGAATGACAGTTTCTAAAGACCAAAGGGGAAAGAACAACTATCTGCCCCAGGACTATTCAGCCTAGAGCAGGCTTTCATGTCAGGAAATACACTAGTGTACCCAGCATGCCCTGGCATGCGTGTTGGCATGGGTGAAAAGGGTGTAAAGATAGAAGTAAGCCAGGGTGCTGTGAGCTCAGCCAGGACAGAAGAATTTAGTGCAGTGAGCTCAGTCCTCTCAAATACATGACATTAGGTGAAAACCTTCCCCTTCCACATGTGTAATGTGCAGGAGATTTTATTTTACTAGCATAGAATTACTGATCACCTGCGCAGTGACTAAGACTTTGTTACCCATTCCAGGATGCAAAACAAGAACAAAAACACAACTAAGTATGACCTCTTCCTAGAAAGAGCTTATAAACGTGCTGGTAACATGCCAATGAACCCATGGGCAGTTGACACAAGAAGCAAAGTCATCACATGCTCTTGGTTCCTAACAACCAAAGCATTTCTGCCATGTACCTGCAAAGGACATTTATGTTAAAAGAAAGAGAAGGGTGAGAAAAAGAGATTTTCCTTTCTTAGCTTTTAGAAGGCGATCAACCAAATTACAAGGAAGTTATTGTTCATGGATAGGCAAGGATTAATTCAGATCTTGTAACGATATGTTTTATAGATAGCACATAAAAACTTCATGGTGCAATTAAGAAAAAGGTGGACACAGTTTGGATAAATAAATGCTAGAAGTCTCATGAAAAACAAAAAAAATAGGGTCATGGAAGCCCATCAGGGACATTTGAAAGAGACCAGCCCTACAAGGCTACCCAAAGTGAAGTCCCTGCAGATGGCATACCCTTACTTCATAGACTCATGCATTTGTACCAGATGAAGGCAAAGCAAAACAGAATAACAACACATCCAGGCAACAACAAGTACTTGAGGGATGCCAAAGGCTGTTGGCGTCTCTGGATAGCACTGAGTTAAAAGAAAAGAGCCAAACAAAGATGATCTCTCTGCTAAAAATTTATAAAAGGAGGTTGAGCCCAAGACAGCTGGAGGAAGATCAAACTCAAGAGTCAAACCCAGGTTTGCCCTGCAAGGACGAAGATGTTACAGAGGGATAGCTTTGAAAAAGAGCCTCTGCAGCGACTCACTCATCCAAATGTCTGAAAAGCAAAGGAAGAACAGGCCAGAGGTCCTGAGTTAGAAATAGACCATTGAGAGCCAAGTCCAAGGCCAGGCAAAAAGTCGTGGCTGTGCTTGGGGAACTGCAAGAATATTTGTGAGCGGGGTTGGTTTCAGAGAGCCAAATATTTAGTACATAGTAAGAGCCAAGTCTATTGTGCTGATAAAGGAAGTATCGTTTGTGTTTCATTTAGTAGACAGGACTGGTAGGCACCTTAGTATTTTCAAATCATTGCTTGTCTTATTACTGCTTAAGACAAATATTACATTTTATCACTCACATTATCCATGAGCCACATTCTCAAATATAAGACATTAGATGAAAAACTGCCCCTCATGCCGATCAACATATGCAATAGGTAGTAGATAATATTTTGATAATATTTAATATTGAGCACAGTCTCTAAGACTACTTCGTTATCCACTCTAAGGAAATAAAAATAAAAATAGCCAAGTAAGACCCCTCCCTACAAGGAGCTTATACATATGCTGGTAAAAAAAGAAAATAAACACAAGGAAAATTCACACAAGAAGCAAAGTACTCAATGCTCTTGGTTCTAACACCAAAGACTTTCTACCATGTATCTGTCAGAGGATGAGAAGTATGGATTTCAGTTCACAGCAATGACAGAGAAAGATAAGTTCCAGCCTAAGGAGGGAAATCTCCAGCTTAAGAGACTAGATAGATAGATAGATAGTAGATAGACAGATATACATGCACATATACTCACCACAGACACATACACATATACACACATACATATATACACACATGCATATGCATATTTTCAATTTACAAAAAAAAAAAAAGCCAAAACACGTTCTGTAAAAGAAGAACCATCAGAGTCACCTTACATCTCACCACTCAACCATGGCATACAACATATTAATGCATTTTTCTTTTGGACTAGGGCTATTTTAATGTCTAGCATTTGTCAGATCAGAGAAGTACATATGGTGAAGCTGTTCAACAGTGTTATTAGATCCTGTTCCTTAGTTAGAATCCTTTTCCAAAGGAAATATTTTGATAACAGCTCTAAACCACTCCATCCATTGAATAAGAATTGGGACTTGGCACCAGACAGCGCTTTATTTCTTTTTCTGTAAACAAGATTACAGATAATAATATACACACACACGTGCACAGCCACACTATCATTACAAATAATATTCTTGCATTATACCCTAAAAAGACTCTGTTGAGCCTTTTTGAAACACGTTGTAATTCTGCTTAAAACAAACTATTCATAACTAATGCTTAGTGTGTGTTTTTGTCTGCAAGCCCTCCATCTCAATTAAAAGTGAAAGAATTTAAGCCAGCAGAGTCATATCATACTGCGATCAGTGCCCAGAGTAATGAATATGATTCTGGGTTTCTTTTAATTTCCTTTATAGAGCTTACAATGATCCAAATAAAATAAAAGCAATCTAATATTCTCCTTAGAAGTATCTAATCAGAAAGCTTTCAAATGGTTTTCAATAAAATGATTATGCCTTCTTTTCCCTGTAGCTGATGGCATTTTCAAAACGTCTCAATCAAACACCATGCCTTGAGAATGTGCCATATGTTTTCATGAAAATGTGGCAATTATTCAAGTAACTATTTTACTATCATTCTCATGTTTCTCTGGGTTTCCTAATTACTAGTAGCACTATATATGTGAGAAGATTGAGTCAGAGTTTTATGAGATTCACACCCGGTTTTGCATTTTCAAGTTTAGCTAATCAAAGAAATACTCTGCAATAATCTAAAGCAAACCTCAGATATATTTTGAGACAGTTCAATTTTTTCTTTCCAATCACTTATAAAGGCTTCTAAGGAAGTCACTTAGTCCGGCCAAAACTTCCAATCCAAGGTTTTTCAACCACTGCACTGCTGACATTTTGGGCTGGAGAATCCTCTGTTGTAAGGGGCTGTCCTGTGCATTGTAGGATGTTTAGTAGCATCTGGCCTCCACCTTTTTAGGTGCCAGTAGCAGCCCCCTCCTCTATAGGTCATGACAATGAAAATGTCTGCAGATATTGCCACATGGCTTTGGAGACAAGGAACATTGCCTCCCTCATCACATTGAGAAGTTTCCCCCATGAAGCAGATATTCATCAGTCTATTCTCTCAATGTTCTGGGGCCTTTGGAATCAGCATGGAAGTTAACTGACCACTAGAGAAATTAAAAAATAAAGAACCAATGGCCATTCATCATGGAAGAAGCTATCACCATGAAGTTACCAATTTTCCAAACCCCACCAAAACCAGTCTAGGCTTATAATCTCCAAAATACATAAGACTTTGCTCTCTGTAGCCTCTTCGCCACTGGTAATCCTTAATCTCCAGTACAAGTTCGGTGAAGTCGCAAGGTTAGAAAGCAACTTCCATAGTTACTGATCACTGTGTGTCCATTAAAATCTCAAGTTCCTGAAATATCATGGATGCAAAAACACTTTTGACATCCTAACAGGCTATCCATGGATTTATTCTGAGAAACACAAAGTTTTACTTAGTATATCCCAGTTCATCACTCAACAATCTCTGATCTAAGTTCCTGGGAATACATGAAACACACCGTGCTCAGTGAAGAGATGACAGAGAGGAAAGTAGCTATTTCTGGGAAGTATCTATGACTATATATCTATAACAGTACTGATACCAATATGGAGATATAGATTATAGCTATAGATCTGCTCTTCCTAAACCAAGACCTTTCACGGCAGTTCATGCACCAAGCTCTCCTGTTCAGGAATTTTCAGAAAACTCTCTAGTAAATTCCTAAGATCGAATACAAGAACAAATATCTGGTCTCGTGGCCCTGCCAAGGCAGAGGAAATATACTAACCTGTGTGTGGATTAAGAAGGATGCTTCCGGGCGGGATGCCTGTTGCAGCTTCAAGGGGAAGGAGGATGTAGCTCGTATTGCCGGCACCAACCTGGCCCCCCATTCCACTCTCCGGATAGGGCACACAGCCCGGAGAGCTGGCTGCCACGCCTGAGACCAGGGGTGCATTCTGGAGAGGGGGATGGGTGCGGGACAGTGATCCTGAGGACCCCGCACTGCTGGACGACTCAGAACCTACCAGAGACACAAACCGACACATCACTCAAGCGCTCTGGTTCTAAATACTCCCATCATGATGAAAGAGTGTAAGGTGAGTGCTGTGGGAGGAGACTAACTCATGCCCCTCCCACATTTTGGGCTCACATTTTATTGAAATATTTTTCTGATGTGTCAATCTCCTAGAAGAGAGATTAAGAATGAGTATTTTCTTTTGGCCTTCTCACATGCCCCTGGGGTGATGAATGGGTAAATGGCATCCTGAATGCAGTGCCTGAAAACTCCCATCACCCTGAGTAATGAATGCTATGGAAATGTGTGACCGAGCTGGAGTCGTGAAAATAAAATGACTAGGATGGAAGTTAAGGAGGTTACAGTGTAAGGAGGAGTCCCGGGAGGTGCCGATCACACAGATGGTTCTAAAGTTCTGGTTCTTCACCATCCCTCATGCTCAGTTTGAAGGTGCATAGTTGGAAATAATCTCTTCCCCCATGTGAGAATAGAAGAATTGGATTATTCCTATTGGGAGTGCTTAGGCTCTGCACTATTTCACATATTCACAGAAGCCTTATTAATTAGCCAAGAGGTGGACCAAGGAGGGTTTGACCTTCATGGCAATGATTGAGCATCCTCAAGGTGACACAGAAGTGTCAAGTCAGGGAGATGTTTGTGGACTGTGGATTTCTCAAACATGTAGGTAACAGGATCAGTGTGCAGAAGCCCCCAACGTGGAATCTAGCCCTAACCATCTCCCTCTCCCTCTACTGTGGACAAAGAATCACCGGCTACAGTCTATGTTCATTAGGCACTAGATGCTTGTAACCAGAGCCAAGCAGCTCCGGCAACCTTGACCATGGCTGTTGCGGGCACCGAATATGAACCCAAGCATTGGAGAGAAAACACACCAAGCAAAACTTCTGTATCTATGAATTCAAAATAACAGATGATGTGGATGATATCATAGGTTGCAAGAATGTAGTGCAGGGAATTTTAAAACATTAGCCCACGACTCTTGTTTTATGTCATTAAACATGCATTCTTTGTGTCATTGTAGGTTAATATATATAAGGAATAGTTAACATTGTTTTCAAGATTCTAAAAGGTGCCCTTCAGTTAAATTGGAAGTCTTTTAAAATAAGTAATAGGAATACAACACTCAATTACAGAGAAGAGGGGTCACTGGAGAGTGATACAGTGGAGAAGGCAGTGATATTTCTTAAGCATTTAGTATGTGTAAGCACTTGGATAAACACTAATAATAAGTACTGTTACTGCCTCTACAGATGGGGAAATTGAAGCATAGACTATTTAGATAACTCAAGTCAACTCACATAGCTAGACAATGACAGAGCTAGGATTTGATCTTGGCAGACTAATCTAGATTTCACCGTGACCCAACTGCCTCCTGAAAGCATGCATATGCATATACCACGGGCTGCCACAAGCATTCCCAGTTGAGAATCTTTTCTGCTTTTTCCATGGCTTGATTATTAATAATGATAAAGTTTAAGGTCAATTGAGGATGCTCTATCTACCTAGTTTAAAATACTGATGGGCTTCTGAATAACCTATGGGGAGAAAAATAAATTTGAAAATGCTAAGAGTAATCCTAAGACTGCATCGCTGACATTATGACCTTGAAGTTACAGCCCCAATGCAAACTAGAGTTTGTTTGTGGATGTCCCACAGGCGATTTGATGTTACAGTCCAAGTTTGACACTAGTACAGAGTCAACAACAACAGCAACAACGGTAATAATAAAACTTCCTGCTCCCAGATATTTAAGGTCATACACAAGTGACTACACCCATCTCCAGGATGAGGGGTCAGACAGTGTAAGAGTTGGGTCCAGTGAGGTACATCCTAACTCTGATTTGAGGTGTGAGCTAGGGCAGGCATGGGTGTGTGTGTTGGGAGTGGGGATCGATGCACACAGGCTGATGTGCCACAATCAAACCCAAAGAGTGACTTCATTTTGGCTTTCAGAAGGTGGCCATTAATCCTTGACTCACAACGTCTCTTCTATCAGCTGGGGAAAAGCTGCTGCTTCAATAAGAACGATAAGGAGACAAGGTAAATACAATGCAAATGATTTGATCAGACAGGCTAAAAGAAGGAAAAGTCAATTTAGTTTAAACTCTCAATGCTTGCAAGGATGGAGACAAAGTCAAACCTCCATGGAGGGGTGACTCAGCAGTCACCATGCCACCAGGTTCAGGAACAGGCCTATCTGACTGATTTATCACCAGCTTTGATCAGCTTGTAAACACCAAGAACCCAGAATCAGGAAAAGTGACATTCAACACACAGCCAGCATTCCTGAAATTCTTGATCAAAAATAGATGCTAACAATGGTGATAAAAGGCATGGGACAGGAAGTGTTTAAATATTCTTTTAAAAAATAAAATTGATGGGCCAGCTGAGTGGCGCATTGGTTAAGAGCTGGCTTGGGACGCCAGAGGGCCCCGGTTCAGATGCCACATATGAGGGCCAGTGACACTGCCCTCTACAGCTAAGATGCTGAACAACAGCTCAACCTGGAGCTGGGATGCGGTGAGTGGCCGTCCAGAAGCTGGTGACTGATCTGCCTCGCTCGGGAAGAGCTCAATGATGGTGCCAACTTGGGTCAGTGAAGCAACGTCCTCCACACCTAGACTGAAGAACAAAAGGACAGCAACTTGTCTGTTCTCCTTCTCCCAATTCTCCAATAAAAGAAAAATCTTAAAATAAATAAATAAATAAAAATAAAAAGTAAATAAAATTGATATTTGAGAACTTGACTAGTTTGGATGCTGAGAGTTAACATGTTTTTGGTTTCCTTTTTTCAGGGATTTCATGATAGCAACAGCAAATATTGACTATTGTCACTGTGCTAGTCACTTCACATGAACTATCTAATCTAATTTTCACAGCACACTCAAGTGTAAATTTCTGAAGCGTACCTAGTGGATGGAGTCTGAGGTCAAACTGAGCAACACAAATCCATGGACACGCTCTAAGCCAGCAGGTCCTATATTTTCTCTAGAGTCATTGAAGCGAGAACCCGGTAGGGCCCAGGGCCCTGAACAGGTTTGTGCCCAGTTCTAGGAGATACTGCATAGGAATTCAATGCTACTCTCAATGGCATGCTCAGAAGTTGAAGCTGGATCCTAAGGGGCAGCTGGTGGGAGGTGTAGAGAGAAGACATCAGGGTGGCTGGATGACAGACTCAGGCGAACACTCAAGAGAGGGACAAGAAAAAGGAAAAGGGGAAAATGTGAAAAGATTGGAAAAGAGATCATAAGACAAAGTTAAACGAAAGCCTGGGAAGGAGACAGGGCAGAAGGGGGAGGGCATGGGCAGATCCCCTTGGATGGGGGGCGGGGAGGAGGGGCAGTCACTCTCCAGGGAGGAAGCAGCCTGAGTTTGGGTTCTAGTTGTGACAATTATGAGCTGTGTTTTCTTCGGGAAATGACTCCTTCCTTAGACCTCAATATCCACTTTTGTAAAATATAAGCCACCAGCCTAAACGCTGAGTGATGATGGAGATGGGGACCTTTGAGTTCCCCTCAGCTCAGCTAGACTTCAGACAAATTTCTTCCTGACATAGGCCCTTTATCTCCCTTTTTGGAAACTTTTCTGCTCCCTTAAGATGTAAATCTTCTCTCAGCACTTTATCAGGTTTACAACCCAGGACTGTCTTTCTTCAGGACTTGGGAGCTAACCTTTTGAAATGTAATCATCAAGAAATAGTGCCCGTATCTGCCAGTTTCTGTGGTAGCGTAAGAGCCTGACTTTGGTAAACACCAGTTAGCAAACACAGATGGTTTAATCAAACTGACCAATCCCATCTCTAACGTCCTCCAGTACTTGACCACAGCTCACTTAAAAACTTCCCTACCTTTCGTTTCAGCAGGGTTGAGTTGAAGCTCTCTCCCCTATTATAATAGGTTTGACTCCAATTGCAATAGTTATGAATAAGATCTTCCTTGCCTGTTTAACTCACCCAATGCAATTTTTCTTGTATAAGGACCCTGAAGCATAAGTTTTTTTGTTTTTATTTTTGCTTTTTTCTGAATTCAAGAAAATGTTTCCAGATCCAGGAGTCAGAGTTAAGCAGAATAACATAAAGATCTGAAATTACAAGGAAGAAGAGAATATCCAGAGTGCATTGCTGTAGTGATGAAAAGAAACATGAAGAAGAGGAAGTGGCAGCAAGATGAGATATCTTGCGTTTGGTTCCAAAAATACTCTAAAGTGTAGACAAGAAAAGTAACAACAAGAATACCCTGGGGCCGGCTGAGTGGCTCAGTTGGTTAAGAGCTCGCTCAAGAGTTTGAGCTCTGAGCAACTGCGGTTCGAGTCAGCCCGAGCTGAGCAGCCGCTGAGCTGCCAACAGGTGGCAGGATGGCTCAGCTAAAAAAAAAAAAAAAACCCCTTGCATCCAGAAAACAAAATAGCAGGACAGGTAAACTTACTAAAACAAAACAGAAAGATGTCTTATTTCTCTAAAGCAGTTGTCTTCAAAGCATGCTTTCATAACAAGCAATCTGTGCTTTAAGAAATGCTTCATGTGATGCTCATGCAGCTAAAGTTGAGAATCCCTGCTCTGCAGATCGAGAGGGAGCAGTGATAGTAAAACAGTGGAGTTTGGCCAGGGTGGACCAAAATAGATGTCATACTCTTATTTTTCAACCACAGCGCCACTATCAGAAACAGCGGAGTTTGCAGCACAAACCCCACCCATTCCAGTTCTTTCACAAGGAGGATGTAATGATGTAATGGCATCATTTACCTCCAGAGGTGTGTGCTGGACATCTATCAGTTAGGTGACCATTACTGGGCCCAGTGTGGGGGATAAAACAGGGGAAAGGCAGCCCAGGCCCCCAGAGAATGTGCTTGCGCGTTCAGACTTCAATAATATGCTTTTTCCGAAATACAGGCAAACATGTTTCCCAACTAAAAAAAGTCTCGTTATTATCTATTTAAAGCTCGAACCTATGTAATTAGAGGAGAAGAAGAGTAGCTTAAATGTCACAACTCCAGACTTGGTTTCTGAAAGGTCAAAAGAAAGTTTGCAATTCCACTGTGAAAAAGGAGGTAAAAAAATGGAAACTTTGCGCTGTTCGGAAGCTCTTATGACAGCAAAACTGACAGCTTTGCTTCATAAAACCATCTTGGGAAATTGTGTTTGTTTTGACATCCTAGCTTGATCTCCTTTAATTTTTTTTTCTTTCCAGTTCTGCACCTTGACAAGCTTTCAAATGGAGACACTTAGATTAAAAGAAACAAAAAGTCTGAAGCACTTACAGTTTCTAATCATTCTTCAAAGAAAATGCCATTTTAGCATTCTGAAAGTGTTTTAAATGTTTCCAAAAAGCTTTGCTTTGGAAGTGATTGGGGAATGACGACTAATTTAAAAATCATAAGAGCTCTTTTGGCGTGTTGGAATTTTTAAGTAAGCCATTTAAGGTACTTGGTTTTTTACTTTTAAGGAGATTTAAAACTATTTAACCTTCCTTAGTTTACAAGAGCTTAAGTGCACCACAGTGGATTTTCTTGACTTCAATTGATGCAATAGTGGAATATAAGAGCAATTAATTAGAGGAAGAAATCAAGAATTCTCCAATTGGTGAATTAAAATAAAAGAAGGCAGTGTGAGCCCACCTGATCTTTATAAGAAGGAAGATATATATATATAAAGTACTGACTGACAAAATGCTATTCATTTCCTGCCTAGGTGGGAAAATATGAGATAATTTCTCAGGAGGTGTTTGTCAACAACATAATTATGTTAAACCATTAGCATAATGAGCCTATATTTCACAGAGTCCCCCCTAGAGTGTGACTCTTGGTTGGGAAAGTATTCACAGTCTAGGATAGATAGCCCATGTCTAACCTCTGGTTGGCGGTGTCCATTCATGATCCCCCTCCTGACCTTTGCCTCTACTCACCAGCCACCCCAAGCCATAGATGTCCTACCAGTATATCCTGACATCCACAGCCTGTCACTGAATCACAGCTCTCACCCCCACCCTATCTGAGAATCAGGGCCTCCGAACTTCTGCAGCAAAACCCAAACCAAACCCAAACAATTATGGTACATGCTAAACTAAAAATTTAAGCTCATGGAGTGAACTTGAATGGTCATCTGTCACCTTCCTGGGATTTTATGAGGTATTTGAATCATGAACATTTGAAAATGATTTGAAAACAACAGTGAGGGACTCTTGGGAGACAGAAGAGTTAGTAATGGCAGGCCATCAAGGGTATTTTGAAGACTAATATGAAATCCACAGTATTGATATTTCTGTCTGTTTAAAGTTACTTCAAGTGAACGGTTCTCCTACATCTCTCATTGTTGTGCACCTCCCAAAGTCTGTCCGTGCAAACTTGACCTACCTACCTCAGAAGACCACTATTCACTTAGAAGGAAAAAAAAATAGGAAAAAAAAACCGATGCTGGAATTTGACTACTTAGAAACTATGAGTCTTTTGAGGCTCACTTTTCTTATCTGCAAAGGAGGGATGAAAATATTAAATGGCAATAATAAAAGTAAACAAGAACTAGTGTTCGTTGAGGGCTAATAACTTGCCAGGCATTGTTTGAATTATTTTGTGTATATTAACTCTTGGTCTTAATTACCTATCAAGATAGGTGCTATTATTATTCCCATTTCTCAGGTGAGGAAACTGAGACACAAATAGATGAACTCACTTCCCTGGGATCATACTAACAGTATGCCAAAGCAGGGATGGAAACTACTAATGTCATAATTATCTTACAGTGTGGTTTTAAGGAATAAATCAGAGTATTAAATTAAAAAACAAAACAAACCAAAAACCTAAACTTTGTAAAATATTTGTCATGTGCCTTGGTAACCGTTCTTATATAAATAATTGAAGTTAAACTTACAGTAGTCGACTGAGGAGATTTAGAGTCATAGTCCATTATCACCTATATTTTATAGATGAATAAACTAGAGATTAGAGAGGTTAATAATTGGACCTACGCACACAGCTAGCAAGAAGCAGTATTGGTATTTAAACTGCACCTTCTGACCTCTATCTATACCTCTGTCTATACCTGTAATTAATATTATTAGTTAACTGGAAGTCAGAGGGAATAATGACCTTACAGCTTGGGTAGAATTCAGAAAATACCACAGGACTTAACCCCCTTCAGTATTAACTACCTGTTTTGGACAGCTTCCCGGTACTCCTGGTACTGGATGTGCTGTCACCCCTGGTCAGCACCGTGATGCCCCCGAAACTCGCTGTCTTGGTCATGGCGGGCTTGAGATTGCGGTTGGAGCTGTCAGAGTCCGTGCTGCTCCAGGCTCTTTGGTGGTCGGACCACTTGAGTTCACTCTCGGAACTGCTCTGTCGACTTCCAGACATTCTCCCTGAGCCATCTCTGTTGCCCCTGGAGCACGACCATCAGAAAGATGCACAGGGACAGGGTTACCTTCCATGAGCAGCAGGGACATAGAATGGGACCTTTATTGGAAGAGTCATCTACACAAGACCCTTCTGGTCAACTCTTTCCAGGAAAGGGTTTTCTGTTGCCTCACAAACAATGCTACAAATACCTCACTGATGTACAGACAGATACACATCACACATAATGCTCATGTTACAAATAGAAAAAAATAACAAAAAAACCACTAAATTTAAAAATGTCACATGATCCCTCTGCCAATGAAGGAGAAACTAGAAAACTATGGTGTAAAATATAACTGTTAACGTCTGTTGTGGAGAGAAGAGGGGAACAAATTCTCCTGACCAAAATCAACAATGAATCAGTTTGGGAACAATGGTGATCTCGGAGAATCCTAAAAGCAACTCCCACCGAAGAAGAATCTTGTCTCTCCCTTCAGCATTAAATAATCGGACCATGGAAAAATGCACATGGTTCCACAGAAGCCACTTATTAATTTATTTTCTAATTTTATGAGCTGTGTATCTGAATTCATTAAGGCTTTGACAGACAGCACAGAAATCACAGAAATTACTCTGTTAGGCGATGGTGAGAATTCTGTTCAGTGAGTTTAACCTTCAAGGGCAGAGCAAAGAGCCTTTTAATCCTTTTCACATGGAAAGCTGGTGATAATACCCACAGTATAAACACTACACTGACATGAACCTTTCTAAAGGGATCAATGGAAATAACAAAAAAGCTCCACAGGTGAATAACACATTTGTTGAAAATTCGAATAGAAAAAGAGTGAACTTATTGGAAGAGGGCCAATAGCTAAAGTGAATTTTGAAGACTGCTGAGAATTTCTAGGCAGTGTGCAAAGTTGCATGCCTTTTCTAGAGAAAGTTGGTGAAATTTGCATTTTCATTGGTTTCCAATCTGCTTAGACAGTAACTGAGTTAATATTTTCAAAGGTTTTTCTGCAGTTGGAAATAATGGATCATTAAAATATCCTAAGATTCTCATAGCTTATAAATAAGTAAAGAGGACATAAATCATGGGTAATAGATATAACTTCTAATTGCATATCACTATGCAATATGACCTATTCAGATCTTCATTCAAATCTCACAGATGTGATCAGTTAGCTCTGTTAAATAAATATTCTTCTGAAGACAATGATGGACTGTTGAGATGTTAGACGTACGCGTTGTCAGATTGAAATACTCACCAACCCAGTTATACAGAGGGTACACAGACAATTTTCAGTTTCACTTCAACTTTCTTTACTAAACTTTTCTGTTTTATTTCATGAAAACCTAAGAAGGTAAGGGGGCCTATGAGATAATAAAAATGAAATAGCTAATCTGTGATAGAACTTTGTAAAGTAAGGGCAGGAAGTGGAACAGAAAACTCACAAAACAAAAGCAACCCAGTGCCCTGCTGCCATTTGTCAATGTTTTCATACACCATCCTCTCTGTTCTCAGTACCTCAGGATGACTGGTTTTAGAAACAAGGACCATCCCAAAAAAAGACAAGGTTGCGAGTAGCAAGTATCAAACACTCACCAATGGCCAGATGACTTTAGTTCTTAAACTTCAAAATTTAAGAAAGCCAGAAGAGGTAGCCTGCAGGAAACCTCCTTTTTTTTTTTGCTAGAAAGGTTAGCAGTTCTTTGATTCCTGATTGTTTCCCTTTCAATCCCCAAATTTAACTTCATTCTTTTCCCACATAATTCTGATGAATTTAACAAAGCCTGGCTAAATCATTGTTTAGCAACTGTGAATGCACAAGAGATATGACAATGATCTCATGTGTAGCTAATACGGGATATTTATTATAGGAAAAGATTTGGGGTAGTTCCTACCTCAGCGTACAGGATGCGTCAGAAGGGAGCTTTCCACGTGGGGGTGAACTAGTTCCGCTTCAGTGATTCTTTTCCCCATGAACTCTGCACCTCTACGGGAGGAATCCAGGCTTCCTCTAAATGCCAGTTTGGCTGGGTCTTTACAAAGGAGGTGTGTACCACTATTCCTGGGTGCAAAGCATGTGTGCTGTAGTTTGCACCGTTCACTCTGGCAGAGATGTTTCTAAAACATTCCGTAGTTCCTCTAGACCCGTGCCACATCCCCTGGCCAATAAGGCAACCTAAGATTTCCTTAACTTCTACCTCTACTCAACCAGCTCACATCATCCTCCTAAGTCAAGATCTGGGCATTTTAAAAGAGGGAATTTAAGTTGCTGCTTTAGAGGTTTACCATTAATGAGATTCAAAACAATACATCTACTTCTAGTTTATGATCTTTAGATATTTATACATTGAAACAATATTTTATAATGTTCTATTGATTATTCCCTTTAACACTGGCAAGGTGAGGTCCAGAATTAAGTTTTATATCTATTTGGGTGTGGAATCATAAACATCATAAAAAAACATATTCACAAGTGTTTTTCCATCGCTCCTAAGCGCAGTCCTAGTTCCATCCTACTGGAAACCAAGAAGACAATGGCAATGAGATGTATAGTCATCAAAAGGACTTGGCCCTCCCATATGTAACTACAATTTGATCCTAGAGTACTCATAAAGCGCATACTCTAAGTTCTCCTTCTGAGCTGATTAACTGATAACATTTATTTTCCTTGTTGTTTGAACATGGCATTTTGGCTTTGTTTTTGTTTGCTGGGTTTTTTTTGTTGTTGTTTTTTTCCCAAATTAGATATGATGTACACTTTGAATTCATTTTACATTGTGTGGCTGGCTCTGTGCCAGATCATCTTCCTGGGTTTCTATGCTTGGTGATTCTGGCAGGCAATGGTGTCCATATTTGAGACGGCTGATCTAAGTTGATGGTAGCTCTGACTAAGGGGCCATATTTGGGGCTATGTAAAACTAATTGAACTGTAAGGGGCAAGAATCCACATTTTATCTATATTGTCTAAATGGTGTATGAGCGTCAGAGTACTAATAAATCTAGTCTTTCTTTGGGTTTTCAAGAGAAAACTGCAGAGTTATTTTTTTAATCTTCAATGTGAAAAGTATCTAATGATATAAGAGGAAGGCATTAGATTATGTAGTTCAACCTAAAAAAGAAAAATTCAGTTTTTGTTTTGCCAAAGTGTAAAGGGAGCAAATTACTCTACCTTTTCTAGTGATTAAACCATAAGTTCAGATTTATTGCAAAAAGATACTTTCAAAGAACACAATCCATTTATTTTTTTCTTGGTATTTTCTTGCTTCTAAGTGGGCAAGAGTTTTGTTTGTTTTGCCTTTCCTACAACAGAGATGAATCCTAATATTCACAAAAGCACTGGCATATTAATATATATATTAGGTGTTGAGTATACATATAGCACTGTGTATCCTTTGTTTCATAGAAATACATTTAATAGAGTTGTGAGAAAATGGGCATGATCCCTGTGCTTTCATGGAACTTGTGCCTAGTTTACAACTTAAAAAAAATATATATATATATATTATTATATTATAGTTATCAAGTTATAATAATTGTATTATATAATTTAATATATTATAGATAATTTTACATATGTGTGTGTGTGTATATATATATATGTATGTATAATCCATTACCCTTATGCTACACAGATCTTGATTTAAGTAGTTCATTATAATTGGAAGCAATCCCATATTTTTCCTTAGAAATAAAATCTATGCTTGAAAAAATACTGTTTGAAATATTACGATAGATAGTAGTAGCTAAAAATCAAATACTCAAATAGAGTTATCATTGATTTGTTTCCAGTGTTGGGAATGTATATACAATTGCAACCTGCCAGAGAAATGTTAATTCTGAAATTCATCAAAGTTGATTTAGGAATATTAAATCAGTGTGCTTCCAAAGTTAGCCCTTGAGGAAAAAAAACCAAAAAAACAAAAAACAAAAAAACCCCCAGAAAATCAGAGGAAGAACCCTAAAAGACTGTATGCAAAGTAATGGTCTCCCAGTCCCATATCTTACATTATCCAATATGGCTTCAATATTAGCTCTGTAACAAGCTTTACAAAGAGATAACCAAACATATTTTATTTCATGAACAGAGATATTTTACACCAATACACTTATATTTAACATTGATTTTGCCACATAATCTGAAAACACAGTTTTAAAAAAGTAAACCATACCAACCGAAAGAGCTGTCTTTTCTTATAGGTCTCATTGCATATGTTACTGTCTTCCAAGAGCCTACTGGAAATGAAAAACATGATTTATATGATATAAAACCTAAGGGTCCTAAATAGATGTGTATTCTACTACAGCACACCTATCTTGCAAATCAACCCCATTTACTGATTTGTTTGCATGATGTTGAATTTTGCGGTAATAAATTAATGGCAGCATGGTTTTCACTACCCTACAAATCAAACATTGGTGCTAGATAAGGGAGAAGGAAGAGAAGAGGAAATGGAGGGGATGGAAGAGGAGAGGATAAGAAAAATAAATTGATACAGATATAATAAATACTTAATTAAGTATATTAGTTGTGATTTATGTCTTTGAGTAATAGTGAGCTTATTTTTTATTTCTTGAGCATAGTGAAATATTGGAATTCCAGAGAGAGGTATCCAAGAAACACATTTATTTTTGTAGGAAATTTACTCAATTAGATTTTTGTTTTTTGGGAACATCAAAACTTGTTCATATATGCAATGCATGTATACAACCAATTATTGTATTGATGAATATAATCTAATTTGAATAGAAGGGACACAAGTACAGTAGCCGTATTTTTATACCAAGTAAATGAATAAAATTAGAGAGTAAAGTAGGGAAAAATGATTGGCTAGAAGACTAGGGAATAAGATTTCCCACTAAACTAAATAGTAAATGCTCACTTAATCATTTTGGTATGGATATAGAGTTTTGGAATGGTTCAGAATCATTTCCAAGATGTTAATGCTTATGGATTCTTAACTTTACTGTAAATAAGGAATACTTGTCTGAATCTACATGGATTTTAAGGTTGTTTTTAAATGCCTCATGTGGATTTGTTTTCTAATTTCACCCCTTCTTCTAAAAAATGTTTATTCCATTGCGGGATTTTGTTACTTGAAGGTTTCTAATTGCTAATATGAATGATGGCATTTTTTCCAACAATTATCTCTAATGCCCAGTTTAAACTTTCTCTAAGTAGTGAAATTTAATCAAATAGTCTCCATTTTAATCAATTTTATGGTTCACGCATAAAGCCGACACCTGAAATAAAATTAACCATCACTTTTTTAGTGGATACCATATTTCCATTCCAAGTTGCCCATTTTGATGCATCTTAAATGCAATCAGTGCAGCAAATGTGGAATTCCTTAATTCCCCTTAAAAATCCGCAATTAAATCAATAGAGAATTTTAATACCTATGTCAGTTTAGAACTATTTTTTAAGAGTATATGTTAAATTTGAAGTTTCTGCTCTTATGCTCAAGACTCTGTATACATTTTATTACCCACTCATTTCACAACCATCACCTCTCACTACTAACTCCCGAGCCAGGTGGACTGCTAAATCCAGGCCTGTTTTGATAAGACATCCAAGTTGGGCCTTTTGTGAAGACTGATAGTTTAGAATGAGAAACTTAATTTTATTCAAATTATTATTTGCATAGCTACATATAATTATGGGGCACAAGAAGTGGCTAGTGATACCAAACATTCAAGCACTTTTAGCAGCCTATTCAATAAGCCAATGAAACTGCAAGTTCCTATGTGGTCTCAACATTTATACGTTTTATTGCCTGGTGAAGGTAATAGGAATTATACCTTTGGAAAAACCAGAAGTTGAGACTTTAAATAAGGAAGATATTTAAACTCGTGTTTGGAAGTAACTGAGAGAAATTTTGTTCCCCCCAATAGTTTTTAGACATGTTAAGTAACACATATGTGTGCATATATGGGTGTATGCATAGATATATGTATTTATACATATATTCAAGCATGCACGAATATATGGGATAGATATATCTATGAATATACAGGACACACATGACAGACTTTGTTCCTCTAAAGACACAAAAAAGCAAATTGCATTTTACCTGTTTTCCACAAAAAGGCTTTCCTGGGAGCAAACTGACTGAAAAATAAAACAAAAGGCATTGTATCAGACGTTCTGGATATGCTGAGGGGTCCCAAATCCTTGCCTGATTTCAAAACTACTTTTCCCCTCCAAGGGGAAAGGAATTAAGAAAAATATGTGCCGTTTTTTAGAAAAACAAAAATGGAAATAAAAAAGGGAAAAAAAGCAGGTTAGAGTTAGAAACGGAATTCTCATGCAGCACATGGTACTTTTCCATCAGAGCATCTCCAGGGTTCAAATAGATTTAGCTCGTTCAGCATCAAGGTCAGAAGAAGAGAGATGTTGTGAATGAAACTGCTGGAAGAACGTGTGACCATCAGATCCTGAACTAGTGGTTCCTTCTGAAGCTGCAGAGATGCAGCCACCAGCGAAAGCCAAAATGGACAGGTTCAAATCAAAGCAGAGCGTGCAAACTTGGCACGATCCACCTGAGGATGGGAGAGCCGCAAAGCCACAATCCTGCAATTATTACTTGGCAATGATAAATGCTCACGAAATAAACAGACTGACTGCAAGACTCTCAAAACTGAAGAGGTGCCGTCAATCTTAAAGGGAGAGTGGCAGGAGACAAGTGAAAACAAAATGAAGCTAATTAGCAAAAAAAGAAATGTCACACTCCATCTAAGATTTCTTAGTTTTTCACACAAAAAAAACCCAAATGACTTTCTCCTTCGCTTCCATCCCCCTAGCATTCATTTCTCTACTATCTTGTGTGTCATACACAATGTAGGGAAGATAAAATCCCAGTAACATTACACGCTGAGGAAAGGCAGATCAAATTAAATTTAAACAAACAGGAAAAGAGAAGTCTAAACAAAATACGGCCCTATAATATAGTGACTGTGTTTAGGAATTAACATAAAACCATTTTCAAAGTAGAGTTTCTAAACATAAATATATCCAGCATATTATAGTGTAGGTTTTCTAAATGATGAATAAGTGACCTGCTAAAGGGAAACATAGAGACTTAACAGGTCCATTTTAAGATAAAATAAAACTAAAGAGCTAATAATGATTTTTCAGTATCGAATTCTTGAATTCAGAGATATTGCTAATGTAACCACTGCTCCGAGAGGCAAGCAGGATATTGACTTCTCGTTACATTTTACTGAAGAATCATTTCCTTCCACTAAGCGAAAGGGCTAGATTTGGGCATAATATTTTCCTCCGTGGTCTGGGCATGTCAGTGAAGGCATCTCTAGAACCACTTCTGTCTTAACCTCTGTGTATTTAAATGCATCCTGAATATCAGGTGTGCCAAAACACTACTTAACAAAAAGCAAAAACTTTGGCAAATTCAGAGAAAAGCTTTTCGGAAAATACCTGTTTTCTATTTGACACTTAATTTTACAAAGGGAAATAAGTACAAATGATGTGCCACTGACATTACGCCTCTGAAGTTAAGTTCACAGTACACAACATATCCTGCTGTCTTTATTTCCTCTAGCCTGGTTTTACTACTGGCTTGAGTCAAATCCTGGTATGGGAAAGACAGTGAGATTGTCTCAGAGATACATCACGAATTCAATTCTTTGCTACTTCTCGGCTCTTGTCATTGGAAAGGGGTCAGTTACGTTTCTAAACGATCTCGCTGGGTATTGGAATGACTGAGGCTCTACCAAGCACTTTGAAAGGGTTGATCAAAGACATGCTGACCTCTTCAAATGCGTTAATCGAATAGCATTTTGGGAAGAATTAGCAGCCCAAACTCTTTGAATTAAAAAAATAAAGCACCTGCAAGTCAAAGATAACAGTCCCTAAAACACATTTCAAAAAGTATTTTTCTGATTTTTGTGGGAAGGTCATGAAGAATCATCTCATCATCCCTCTGCCACATTTTCATCAATTAGACAGAGAGGGTTAAGGGCCATGATTCAGCAGCGGATGAATATAAACGTTTTTTTTAAAAAAAGTAGTATTAATAACTTGCATATTTTAATAGCAGAGGAAGATAAAATTGTCACAGGAGTTAATGCAGCATTCAAAGCTGTCACTTACATGTTCTCAGACATAAAGGGCTCATTTTTTTTTAAGGAGAAAAACGCTTTGCCTAGTGGATTACAGAATCCTCTCCCATGTCCCACCCCCAATCCAGGTGGCACTTCATGCCCTTATCAGTTCTCATTGAGGAAGAATGCCAGTACAGGCAAAAGGAGACCTGTGAAGAGCTCCTCCGTGAGTCCCTATTTATACATAAATATCCTTCAGAAATTACCCTCCAGGCAAAACATGTCTGTTTTAAATATATTGCTTCATCAACTTAACTTTCTCCAAACTAGCAACATTGCATAGGATTAATCATAAAATAAGCTGAAATTCTTGCCACAGGAAACACAAGTGATATTTCAAATGCTTCTGACTACAAAAATGCATTTATTTATGATTTGAGAGCTAAATTGTGTGCTCTGACAACAACTTAGCTCTCAAATCATAAATAAATTTGTCTTATCTCAGGATGCCAAAATTCTCAAACTATCTGAAAATGTTTTCTAGAATATCCCAAAGTAATCTGCATATTTTGATTGGGCACCTACATACAAAAGCACGCACACGCACACACACACAAACACCTTAGACACCAAGATACATTTGTAAAATATTCAAGAATACATCTCACTTTGAAATAAACTTGGGTTTTGCTAGAGTGTAAATACCAAGACGTATTCCTCCATCACTCTCTATTGTAACTTCAAGTAGGAAAAAACGATTCTACTTAATATCCATATTTGAACCTATTTGAAGGATTCCACTACTTAATAGTTAGCAAGCAAAGCTGGTTTTGTTATCTAAGTTTTTAAATGATGAAAACACTAAGTAAAAGACCAGCTAAGAAAAAGATTAAATGTCTGTAACTTAATTTCCTTATGCTGGATTCTTTGCATTTGTTTTATAATTGACTTAATATAATTTAATGATTATCTTGCGTACCTCAACAATCTGGGCAGTAGTAATGACCACTTGGGAATCTGGAATTTCGCTTTCATTCCCTAAAGCATCGTGTCTTTATGTAAGTGGTTAGGAAGATTTGTTATTAAATGTATTCACCAGTTTTGAGCAGTGCCAGTATTATATAGCCAATGAGGTTTATCCAAGGTGCGATTATTGCTAATGCAATGTATTCACCAAAGTTCATCTTGCTGTCATGAGCTTGAGCTTGTGTCAATAGAGAAGGCTATAGTAACATCCCATTAATACAAGGGGACCCACAGTGATCCTCGCCCCGTGGTATTTACAACCTTGTGCAGTATCTCTCACACAATACCAGGGCTGGTCTATGTGTCCAACAGAATACAGCAGAAGGAAAAGCATGTTACTTCCGAGATTAAGTTAGGAAAGACTGTGGCTTCCATTTGGGGCCCTCTCTTTCTCTCTTGGATCACTTGCTCTGGGGGAAGCCATGTCTTGAAGGTACCCAACAGCCTACAGACAGGCCCGCGTGGTGGGAATTGAGATCTCTGCCTACAATCAGCAAAGAACCCAGACCTTCCGATAGGTAAGTGAGTGAGTTCGGAAGCAGATAACCATTCTGCCAACCCTTCCGTGACTGCAGCCCCAGGGGACAGCTTGACTGTAACCTCATGAAAGACCTTGAGCTAGAGGCACTCAGGGAAGCCATTCCCAGATTCCTGACTGAGATAAGAAGCATTTGTTATTTTAAGCTGATAAATTTGGGGATTATTTATTATGGTAACAATACATAGCTGAAACATGGGACACCAGTGGCATAGTCTCTACAGACTTACTGGACTAGGCAGAAAGGCACTGGGCACTTTTTCTCCATCTAGAAGAGTGGCTCTTAGCCTTTTAAAGGCTATGAAAACTTATAATTAATACACACTTAGAAAAATGCACATAGGCACAAATGAACATATTTTGCAGTTGATGTCAAGGATTTTACGCAATCTTTGAAGCCCTTGCATGATAAGTATATCCTGGGTATAGAATGCCAATTGAAAAATCTCAGCCTTTGGTAACTATAATATTGCCACAGGTATGTGAAAGACAGTTCGGGGAATATAATTGATAATGTTGTAAATATTTTGTAGGGTGTCAGATGGTCACATCTTGTTAGGGAGACCCTTCAGGGATGGGGTAGAGGCTTGATCACTGCACTGTACACCTGAAGCTGATGTTGTATAATATTGTATGTCAACTATAAGTGAATATATATATATATATATATA